CGCGAAATAACGCGCATGTGCATTATTACGCGCCAATACGGTAAGCATTTTGTACCGTAAAAAGCGCGAAATAACGCGCATGTGCATTATTACGCGCCAATACGGTAAGCATTTTGTACCGTAAAAAGCGCGAAATAACGCTCAGGGTGTTAATTTGAAAATTAGATACTCCTAAAATAGTATATGTAGCTTCAAATTAGCGCCCATGGGCGTTCCGAATTAACGCGCATTCATATACTGTAAATAAATGTAAAAATAAATAAAAAGTGTTCTGGAACTGGGTTTAGTATAAGTAACCTATTTTTTGACTTTAATATAAGTTGCTTTTCAGGTAGAGACGATTCTAATGGTAGTAATATTGTCTTCAAAAGTTTGCAAAAATCATGTAGATAAAGCAAATAAACGTTGCAAAACTTTATAGGGCCGTTGCAGGTGAACCACTAGACCGTTTTAATGATTTTACTACCGTTAGACCTAAAGAACAACATTTGTTAATGCCAAAAAATACCTTTACATACCAAACCCAGTTCCGAAGCACTTTTTAATTCTTATTCTAAATAATGCTATTTATATAATTAGGGGTGCGAGTTCAACCCTTGTTTTGAAATAACACATATGCACGTACTCGAAATAACGCGCTTGTACGGTAAAAGTAAAGACGCGTCATTTATACACATGATTTATTAGGCACATTTGATAATATTCGTAAAATGTTAACAATTTATTAGAATATTTCGAATATATTTAAGGATTTTGATAAATCATTTGAAATTCTATTATTGACATTTTTTTGAATTAATCTAAAGCTATATTATACAAAAATTTAACGATAATTAAATTGTTTCCTAAGGCACATATAATATAAAAATTACAATTAAAATGTATATTTATTCACAATATTTATCAAAATAACATAGCATTCGACCTACTTTCTAGCAATAAAAAAAAAAAAAAGTCTAGACTTTAAAAAAAAACTTGATATTCTAAACTTTCAAAAATCATCGAAAACTATTATGCTTTTTGCACTATGCATATCAAATTTGTATTATACGTTGTACATATATATGTAATATTGACCAAATAAATCCACATAATTCTAGCCTTAACGCTGATTGTTTTCTCTTTTATTTTTTTATTTTTTATTTTTATTTTTTCTTTGTTCATTTTCAACTTTCTTTTGCGCTTTCTCTGCTTCTCGGTTTGCTCGTTTCCAAGCAGCTTCTTCTTTTCTTTTTTTTGTATTATTTGCCTTGCTCTTTGCTAATTCGTCTATTTCTTTTAGTGCTCATAGAGATTCTTCGTTAGTAAGGAGTCATGCGAATGGCAAGGTCTTCCTTTTTTTTGATGGTAGATTCGCCGGTTCATTAGTTTGTTTTGTTTTTAATTAAAGTCCACTATTTTGAAGCAAAATGTCTATAATGAAGTGTTTTAACTATATTTCCAACAGTTAGAAGTTGTGTTTTATTTTTTTTATTAGACATTAAAGAATATAAAAATTTAAGATTGCTCAGAAATTGATATTTTAATCATTTCATTATAAGATTTTTATTATAATACTTATCTCTAGATTTTATTAATGATTATCATCACGTGATTACTATTCACAGATGGATTGTCAATTAAGTTTATACATAATTTTATTAAAATAGTCAAAACTGTTAATTTCAAATACCAAACAATCATGGGTTGATATTTAGTATAGGCAGAAAATATAAAATTATTATAAAATTATAATATATAAAAATAACTATTTGAACTAATATAACCAAATTTATAAATAGTTAGAGTTAGGGTGAGGGTTATAGTTTAAATTTGAGTTAGGTCAGGGTTAGAGTTTTTTTATATTATAATCTTATAATATTTATATATTTCCCACCTATACTAAATGAGATCCCAATCATGTTTTTTAAGATCATGTTTTACCATCCCTAATGCTAATCTATGCTTCTCATAGATTTAAGTTGTGTCAGATCAATTTATAATCTAGCGTATAGCGAATATAATAATAATAAAGACAATATATAAAATATTATACCCTTAAATTATTTATGAACTTTGCTTTCTTTAATCATGTATTTTATATTGAATTAAGCGATTAAACTATACAACGACTAAAATTCTGGCACCGAGCATTGATCGATTACCAAAATTAATACCAATAAGCCTTGTATTTTACGAATACTGTATATCGATATGATTTAAATAAATAATTTAAGTTACTGGAGTCTTTCTGCGCATGTAGATGTGTTATTCTCCCTAATTAGTAAAACCACAAAAATAATATTCTGGTTCAAATTTTAAAATGGTGGCTCTCACACAAGAAATATTCCAAAAATTACTTCGAAGATATAAACATCTGATTTATTATCAATACATATATTTAAGAAGCTGAAGTTCGACCTACGTTGGCATTTCATTTGAAATTAAAATTAAAATTAATGATATCTAAGTTATTTGGTTTGAGTCCAAAATCTGTAATCTTTGGTTGTCATTGACGAATTAAGGATGTTACAAAATAAGAAATTATCAAAATCAAACTTCATTAACGTGTAATAAATATATACTCATAACGTCCGTTGTACTTTAGACAAGCATTAAGTTCATATCATATAAACAGGTCAATAATACTAATATTTATATAGTGTAAGCATTTGTAGACTTCATAATAAAATGCACTTCTTTTTCTTTAAAATTAAATTTGACAATATAAAATTATCGTAATAAGGTATCTCTTAAAAGTCCGAGATGTTATAAAGTATCTTTTATACAAGCATTAAAGGCAAAAGTGATGGTTTTATAAAAAAAGAAATGACTACACAAAAAGATGACTTGTTGAAAAAAAATGTTGTTATGAAATCCTAGATTAAATTAACTGATCTAAAATTATTTTAAATACATCAGAATCAACATCAGAATTTTTATCAATTATCATCCATATATACTTTATATAATTTGTATAGAGTCGATTTATTACTGTATTAACATAATTCTTTCTTCAGAACGGTAGATGAATTCAGAATCAACGACACCAAATCAATCACCAAAGCTTTCGAAATTACTAACCAACATATCTTTTTCTAATAATAACACTCAGAATAAAAATGTTATAAATGATATATTCTTTTCATTTACAAAAGTTGATTATGATCAAGAAAATTTAAAGAAAAACAGTAAATCATTTGAAGAAAATCTAAATAACTGTATAGTTAATGCCAAGAAAAATATGGAATCTAAAAGGCAACTTTGGCAAAATGCTATAACAAGTAATAAAGGTAATTTAAGTGATTAAATTTCTTTTTACTTCTAAAGCGATAACGATCCACATAATAGAAGCTCAAAGAAATATGTGTATAAAATTAGGAGAAATAACAAAATTGCAAGAAGAAATTAAATTATTTGAGAAAATGCAGATAGAATTTATTAAATGTAAGACGCGATTATATTTAAAACGATTTAACTTTTGAAAAAATCGCGTCATAATTATTTTATAAATATCTTTTAAATTAAAGCATTAGATAATGAAAAGAAAGAACTTTCAAAAATTCAAATGGAAATTACAAATCTTAAATTAGATGAAAGTTCAAAAAATGAAGGAATTATCGTGTTGAAGAAAAGAACTGAGAAAGTAGAAGAAGATATTAAGCAACAACGTGAAGGTAAGAACAACCTTATCACTGTTTTGCAAATATAAATTTTAATAAATTTTATCATATTTCATTTTACAGCTATTGAGGTCAAACGAGCATTATTAGAAACTCAACTCTCGCGAAACTTACCTGAATTAGGCATTTTTACTAATAAATTGGCATTAACAATGGAAAGTGTACGAGGTACTCAATTTTGATTTCCATCATTATATTTATAAATGAATATTTACACACTTTATATTAGACGATGTGATAAATTTTATATTCACGTGTATTTATGAAAACAATTCGTCTCGATCATGTTACTTTACAATTGACGTTGGAGAAACAGAGTATAAGGGTATTAAATCTTCTTATTCTGCAAATATATTTTGTTTGAAAGTTTAATGTTCATTAATTTTTTGTTCATTTTATAATAGTCATAGAATGTAATCCTATGGTCGAAGAATTAGACAAACTGGTTTCACAATTAAATACTAGTCGTGATTTCTTTTCATTCTTAAAGAAAATGAGACAGGGATTTCGTAAACATGCAAATGCAGATATATAAAACGATAAGTAAAGTATTATTTTGCAACTATCGCAAATAAATACTTTCATTCAATTCTTCAAGCTTGTCAAGTAAAAAAACCAACATTTACGCGACTTTATTCCACTGTGAAATATTTATTAAAGTATTATAAATTTGATTTATTATTATATAAGCGATGATATTTAGTACAGTCAAACCTCTCTATAGTCACCTCCTATATAAGCACATTTTCTTTATAAGCTTGTTTTTTAAAAAACTATCTATTGTTAAATATAATAAATTTGACCTCTATAATTAGCACACTTTTCTATAATCACGCTTTTTTGTATCCCGTGGGTGTGACTATAGAGAGGTTTGACTGTATTGGGCGTTTGTTCTATATGGTAACTAGGTATAATCAAATCAAATCGTGCTTTATAACTGATCGATCAATTAGCATGATATTAAATCGTGCTTATACGTGATTTATCATCAGTTAGTATATCATACTTTATAACCAATCGATCGATCAATTAATATTAAATCAAATCGTGCTTTATAACTGATCATATAATGATTATAATTGAAATATAATTGATTTATTAAAGGTTTATAATCTTATTAACATTTTTATTGTTAATTAATCTTGTTTTGTTTATTTATTATTTTGAAATTTTGAAAGGTTGTAAGCCACAATTCACAAAGTACGTGGTACTTCCTTTACAACTATACTCTGAACTAAATCTCCTTCTTTAAAGTCCGTAAATCCATCAAATGATATACCACACTCTAATCCTTTCTTTGCTTCTGTAACATCTTGTTTCAAATGTTTTAATGACTCTAATGATCCTTTTTTAAAAAAAGAAAAAGCTTAGTTTATATCTCCAACTTTCAAATAATTCTAATTTTAGTAATAAACATACCTTCCCATATTTGTTTATTATTTCTTATTATTCTTACTTTTTGATTCTTAAAAATTGATCCGTTAGTAATCCTACAACCAGCTACTGGCCTAAACTCTCTATTTTTAACGTTGATTTGAAAAACCTGTAATACTGTTGCTTCACCCGAAACAACTGTTTCCAGTACGGGTGGTAACATTTTACTTAACTTATTTTTTATATCATCCAAAAGTTTATAAATGATATTGTAACACATTATTTCAACATGTTCTACTTGAGCTAAAGAACTCGCTCTTTTGTCAACCTTAACATTGAATCCTAATATTGCTCCTGAAGCGAGAATGAATTGTTATAATTTGAGGTAAAAATTCCTAAACCTATAAGAATATATATATTATACCTTGCGCTGCAGCAGCCATTTGAACATCTGACTCGCTAATATCACCTACTCCAAAATCTACCACACTCACGTGAACCTCTTCGTTCCCAATAGAATCTAGTGAATCAACAATAGCTTCAATTGAACCACTTACATCACCTAAAATATTTATTAATTAATTATAAAAATATAAATTATATCATAGTTAACAAATTTAAAGAAGAAATTTACCTTTAACAACAACTCTTAATTCTTTTATTTGGTCGTCATCTGGCTTTATTACCGTATTTGAAGATGGTGGCGATGGCATAGTAGGATATTCTTTAAGCATCCCACGATGAAACATCCAGACTTTTCTTTTGAAACTTCTAATTGCAGCCTGATCAATCTCCAACTCTTTTTTTACGTTGCCTTCTCTTTTCATTAATAATTTCTAAATCTTTTATTTGCTTTTCACGTTCGATTTTTCTCTGTCGATTGGCAACCACAGTTTTAGCAAGTTCCTACAAGAATGAAAATAACATTTTAATTTATGCAATTTATGATTGTAATTTAATCTCATGCACCAAAAATTACTTCATCTGTAGCCTGAAGGACTTCATCACCAGTACTTGGTGTTTCTCTCCAACCCATGACCTTCACAGGAGTACCAGGTGGTGCTTGCTTAAGCGATTGACCTTTATCATCGCTCATCATTCGAACTTTACACCAACTAGTGCCTGCTACGATAATATCGCCTTGTTTTAAGGTTCCACGTTTAACCAAGACTGTCGCAACATTACTGATAAAACAATTCAATGTGAATATTAACAATAAAATTAAACAAACTTTTACAAAATTTTTACAAATTTCTTGGTTAACTTACCCTTTGCCTTTTTCTATTTGTGATTCAATAATAACACCTTCTGCTTCAATATCAACCTCAGCACAGTAATCATTTAATTCTGCCAATGTTATGATAGTTTCTTCTAGCGTATCCAAACCTTTCCCCTGGATAAATACGTTTCTTAATTAAATATAATAAATAGATCATATGCTAAGCTGAAGTAAATACTCACAGTTAAAGCAGAGATTTCAACACATTGCGTGTCACCCCCGACCTCTTCTAGTTCTATACCATGCCTCATGAGTGAATCGCGTACTTTTCTCTAAAAAATATTCATTTATATCAGACATTATCACGCGTAAAATATATGTCTATATAATACATACCGAGTCTGCATCGTGTTTATCAATCTTGTTAATTGCAACAATTATGGGCACTAGTTGCAATAAATATTAATATTTAGCTTATGCGTCAAATAAGAACTTATGTGTCAAATAAGAATACATATATTAAATGCATTGATTAAATCTTACCTCCAGCATTCTTAGCATGCTTTATTGCTTCCAATGTTTGTGGCATAACACCATCATCAGCAGCAACGACAAGGACAACAATGTCAGTTACGTTAGCACCTCTAGCACGCATAGCAGAAAATGCAGCATGACCAGGTGTATCAAGAAATGTGATGGTTTTTTGTGATGGCAATGAAACTATTTGAAAAATTTACAAACTAAATAAATAATTGAAAATTTTTTAACTCTTTGTGAAACTATAATCTATGTTCAAGTACCAGAAAAAGCGCCAATGTGCTGAGTTATTCCGCCAACTTCACCAGCTGCTACTGACGATTTTCGTAAAGTATCTAACAATGTTGTCTTTCCTGTTATAATAATGAAAATCAGTCAAATAATATTAAAAAAAATAACGTGACAACTGTATAGAAAAATAAATACCATGATCGACATGCCCCATAATGGTCACTATTGGTGGTCTAGGAGGATATATAGTCATGTCCTTTGGCATTGCTCTTAAAATTTACACAAGAAA